AGGAAAGGGGAAGAAAAGAAGGGATGAGACATTCTCAGACCTGTATTCTAGAAAATAATGAAGTCAGGGTGGAAAATTGATTGGAAGAGGGTAAAAGTGGGACAGAAAGACCAGTGAAGAGATTGCTGTAGTGGTTCAGGTAAGAACTGCTGAGCATTCGTGACAGGAGTCACTGTTGGGTGGAGCTCAGCTGAAAAGTGAGCCTGGAGACCACTAGCAGGCTGTAGACTCAGGGGAGGTAGTAGAAGACAGAAACCAGAAGATGCTATGTAACATCCAGGAAAATGAAATCACCCAACAAAAGGCAAGAAAAAAAAATCAGGTGGAATTAAGAGGAAAGGCAGGCTACGCATGGCGAAGTGTTCATCATGCTTGAATTCTGAGAGCCCAGGTTCCACAGCAGTGGACCCAGATGGGTGGAGCAGATGAGAAGTAAAGAAGGGCAGCAGTCACAGGGGCCACCTTTCCAAGGGATTTGGTGACAAGGATCAGAGCAAGATGATGTGGGAGCTTAAGGGTGAGGATGGGGAGAGGCCATGCAGGGAAGACAGAGGAACTTGGAAAAAGATACATGCAAAGAGGGCAAAATACGTACAGGAGAGAAACAGAGAAAGATTGAGAGAGACAAGGGTAAAGAGGAGAGTGAGAAATGAAGTTCTGATGCTTATCAGAGTCCGGTATTTCATGACTGCCCTTTGAGGTTATGATTAGTAAAGCAATCAATATTCTCACCTCTTATCCTGCACACTTGTGGAATATTACTGTAGGGGAATAGAGTTATTCTCTGACCTGCCAGACTAGCAAGCCTGGCAAATGTCCTCTGTCAGCATCACCATAACTACCAACATTAACTCTAATTCATTTAAGTTCTATCTACTTAGTGTGCTGGGTCTAAACACAGGAGGCTAACAGTGGAAACATCTTCACTGTCATTCATCACCGTGACTGCCTGTTAGGAAATCTGTTCCATGTAGGAATTAAACACAAGAAGGGGTCGATAGAGTTCATTCACTTTCCCTCTCTTTGGGGGGAAAGGAGATCAGAGTCAGGGGATCCATATTCTGAAAGCAATCACTTCAGATAAACTACTCAAGTTGTTTCTTCGGACTTCTTCAGAGAAATTCTTCACTGTACAGAGGTGAATCTGTGCCGGCCCCTGTCTTTATTTTGGTGTCGGAATTAGAGCTGATTTCTGAGAAGGTAATTGTGGTAACCATGCGATAAGGTTATGAGGAATGATACAAGCGTCAGAACTCCAAGTCCGTATTAAAAGCAGGAGTGTGGAGAGCCACGCAGAGGATGATGTCGCAGTGTTGCTTACAACAATACAAACCTAGAATGCCCTTAAATGGCTACTAGTCAGAAGCCAGGTGACATCCGTTCAGACATTTACTATGGAATCATGGAAATTAGAGGTAACTATATAACATTAGCCAGCATTTATTGAGTGTTTACTCTGGGACAGGGGTATTACTTGGTTATTTTTGCCTAAATTTGAGAGTAGATGTGAGGATGCTATTTATATTTTCCACATTTTACAGAGATATCAAGTGTTCAATAATATTCCAAAATCATATGGCTAGGAGACAGTGGAATGGAGCTTTGAATGCAATAAATCTAGTTTACTTGAGTTTTCTGTCTTTTTCTTTCGACTAACTAAAGGCTTATCCATTTTGTTTGTCTTTTCACAAAACCAACTCATAGTTTTGTTGATGCTTTCTATTGTTTCTCTACTTCATTTACTTCTGCTTCAATCTTTATATTTCTTGTTCTAACGTCACACACTGTTTTCTTTTTCTAGTTTGGTGAGGTATAAAGTGGGGTGGTTTATTTGCAGTGTACTTTTTTTAATGGAGGCATTTGTCACTTACCTGTTTAATATCACTTTTGGTGGCTCCCAGAAGTTTTTAGATGTGTGGTGTGGTGTTTTGTTTTATTGTTTCAATATATTTTCTAATTTCCCTTTTGATTTCTTCTTTGAGACATTGGTTGTTCATCTTCTGTTGAACTTTAGGCTTTACTGTGACTGTCTATGTACTAACGTGGAAGACGATCAAAGTATATGTAAAAAAAGCAGGTTATGATTTTGTGATACTTAAATGTAGTTTATATGCATGCATTTGCATGCAAAGAATAACACCTGGAGAAATGTATGCCCACAGGTCTCTTAGCCTTGTTAGTTGAGTTTATTTCTTTGATTTTTATCTTTCTTTTTTATATCAATTTCCCATAACCTATTTGTATAGCTGCTATGTTAATTTTGATTCTGTTTTTCAAAGAAAAACTAAAAGAACCTAAAGAACAAATAAGAAACTAAAAACAGGACAAGCAAAACAAAATCAGGTGAAGTGAAAGAAAATAACAGCAGTTCAAGTAAACTCATACAGAAACTGGAAGGGAGAACTAGGATAGACCAAAGAAAATTGTTTAGGAGCAGTAATACTGCTCTCTATGGTCCAGGTATGTTGACCTCATGAAGCCAGCCTTGTGTCCAAATTGGTGTGTTTTAGAGGCCATGTCATTTTCTAATTTTGAAATCTTTCCCCAGGTACTAGACTCTTTCCTGTTCCACCCTCCCTCCCCCCTCAAACAGGAGAATTCCTCTTTGGTCTTTCTTGAATTCAATTTTTTGGACCAGTATTGAGAACATCAAAAATTCCTAGTAATGTATTTCTTTTCTCTAGTTGCATTGTGTGACATTTTAGTAAGATACGGGTATTTATCAAGGACTTATTTATTGAGCTGCTCAGTACTGACAAGACTGAGAAAAATGATTTGCATGACAGGAAAGGCGGGTGGACTATGAGAGGCATATATGTTGTCACTAAACACCTTATGTTGAAATTTGGTGTTTTTATTTCTAATTCTCCATTAGTAATCTTTTTTTTTTTTTTTTTTTTTTGTT